TGTGTGTGTGTGTGTGTGTGTGTGTGTGTGTGTGTGTGTGTGTGTGTGTGTGTGTGTGTGTGTGTGTGTGTGTGTGTGCATGCATTCATCAATGTTCTCATCACGGTCGTAGTCTTTCTTAACCACCAAAATTGTAATCAGCATCGCGCTGAACGAAAAACAAACCGGACAAGTTCGACCAAAACAAAGAAGAATAGTGAAAACAGTGGCCATAGACTGCTTCTCGTACAAGCATCGATATGTCATCATTACTTCTCCGCATGTACTGTTCTCAGCAAGAAAACGCGCATTAACCCCAACGTACGATTTCTGAAAAGATGTGCAAAGAACTTCACAGAACTTACCTTCAGCCAAAGCACCCTCCATTGATTGTCGGCGACTGCTTGCCTACGGCATATTATTGCGACTTCTCCACGCGACCGAGCTTGTCCACCTTCTCCTCTCCTCTCTCCTCCTCTCTCTCCTGTCCCTTCTCCTCTTCTCCTCTCTGCTGTCCTTTCTCCTCTTCTCCTCTCTCCTGCACTTCTCTCCTCCTCTCCTCTCTACTCTTATCTTCTGATGGTGCAGGCCGATCAGACTCCCGTCAAGCCTTCTTCAACTGCACAACCGTGCCTCAATCCCCTCCTCTACTCTCCTCTCTTCTCCTGTCTTTTCCTAGTATGATGTATGTCTCTCTGCATCTCAAAGAAGCCGACGACAAATGTAATCGACAGTCAGAGAGAAGAAGACGGAGTCGACAGTCAAAGAGAAGAAGACGGAGTCGACAGTCAAAGAGAAGAAGACGAAGGACCAAATACACACCAGCGCTTACCTCTCACGTCTGTCAGTCTCTCCTCTCTCTTATGCTATCATGCATGCCAGCCTCTTCGCTAGCGCACGCGCGAACCAACGCTATGGTGAATGCATCTGACCCCGTTCCTCGACCAAGGGAGTAGCTCCGGTCAACCTTCTACATCTTCTCTGTCGGACGCGCGATCCAAACCACCACTCTACCACTTCCCGATTGGATGCTCACACCAACGCTGTACTGAATCTTACCCCGTTAGACGACCGTATTGATTAACTTTTACACTGGGACTCGCGGTTTCTGCAAGAATCTCTCTGCCTTCCGTCTTTCTGGGTCTCACGCAACGCACTCTCGTCCTTCGCAGTATTTATGTTATGATTAGGAACCCTCGCACTTCAGGCCCATCCTCTCCCCTTCCTCTGTCATTCTCCAGGGGCTACTAGGTCCCCACTTACACGAATTAAGAGATATTGACCGTAGATCGCAAAGATCAACGGCCAGAATGTCTTAATCCGGGCAAGTGGGAACTTGCCCCAGCACCATCCTTTCCTGGGGCCTTCTTCTTTCTTCTCCTTCCCTCCGTCACGATGTGGACAATTTCCGCTGACTACCTTTATCCCCCGAACATAACGCACCCTACTAATTCTGACTGTATACGAAGCTATCTTTCTGGTCCGGTGTGGCCGAACTGACGTAGCTTTCACACCCTCCAGGATGCCATTTTGACCTCTTTTCCTACCCCTCCGGGATGCACCTAAGCGCAGTTACGTCCACAGAGAAGATGAAAACGTATGCCCTAACTGGAATGTGGCCGACCAATGGCCAAGTGCGCAGTGGAAACCACGACACTCGTCTGGAGGAGTCCAAACCATGACACTACCGTTAGTACCGGTAGTCGTCTGGAGGAGTCGATTGTACCGCCCCTGCCTCTTTCCCATTTCTTTTCTTTTCCTTCTCCGGTACCCTGTTTCTAGAGGAATCTGCTGTACCGCCAGGGCCTGCCGACAAAACCCCCAAATAGGAAAAAAACAACAGGCCCACATACACAACGTGGCTCTGGGCCCCCCGGGCCCCAGTAGTTTCTAGATATGGTGCCGTGCAATCACTTTTTTTTTTTTTTTTTTTTTTTTAAAACACAAGCTCCATCTATTGGTGGGGAGCAGCATCTGCTGGAAACCGGGTCCAACGTCCCACAAATACAACCGTATCCTCACAAATAGGCACAAACTGGGAACCGGGCCCAGCGTCCCATAACAAACACGTTCAGAAAAATCATCAGAAAATTCCATGAAAATAAGGCTAGAAAGCTACTAAGAATTTGGAGCTGCTTCTTTTTTGAAAATTAAAATACCGGGGCCATTACCTGGCTTTGGCTCAGAGATATTGGAACAACTTCAGACATGTCCCCACTCCAGCAAGACTTACTGCAGCAGAGCCACCATCTCTGCTGCTGCTGTGCTCTATTCCCATCCTACCAGCTAGCCCACTCACAAGTAGGACGCGTGATACCCCACCATCTTTTTTCCAAAAGACTGCAAACGCCACAGTTCTGTTTTCGTCATCGAAAGGGAGGTCCCGGAAAGTCAACAAGTGCAACAGTTCTGTCTTTGTCATCGAAGGGGAGGTCCCGAATCACCCTCCCCAACTCCATCCTAGCAAAGGGTTCGCAGGACCATATCCTCAGCACGAGCCAGACACAATCCTCATCCTGCAATCTCCTGCCCCCTCGGAGATTCCAGTCTCCGTCTTCGAGAGAGCAAGCCAGCACTGCCTGAGGCCAATCGCACCAGAATAATCCCTCA